CAAGAAAATAATAATATCTAGTCAAATTAACACATCCAACTAGGATAGCAGGGATGACTTGGTGACACAAACATTTGCCTCCCACCAAAATCGTACAGGTTTGTTTCTGGCTGGTAGACAATTCAGAAGCAAATTTACCACTGACAGTAACAGTCATTTTGGTGATGGTGATCACTAAATGCAGACTGAAAAAATACAGTCAAACCTCCATTAACAGCCATCTCTCTACAATAGAAAGTTTTTCTGCTCTACCCGATGGTACATACATTAACTCTTATATTTTTAACCTCTCTACAATGGCCGCCTCTCCGCAGAGGCAGCAGCAATGGCCACTTAAGTCCATATCAAAATAACTGCTGCACAATGGCAAGTTAAATAATGACTGATGGACATTGAATATAGAATTCTATTTTTTATTGTGAAAGTGTGTTGTCACATTGTTTGTCTCTGTTTCTGTTTTATTGACACATTTTGGTTGTGTCACATATTTAAATGCTACCATAAGCAATTTTTTTAAACTGAAAATGTTGCACCACCCTGAATAAAACAGGTGTCATATTACACCCAGACCTCCCCATAATGGCCACTTCTCTATGAAGGCCACTTTCTTCTGTCCTCAAGTTGACCATTGTGGAGAGGTTCAACTGTAATAGAATTTTGTAAATCAAGAAGTCTTACCATGGTGGGTGGTATGGCATGTAGCGTGCCAACCCTGGGTGCTGCTGGTTGGGTTGAATCACCAGCACCATGAGCATGTTCCTCCATATCGCGGGTATACTCGGCCTGAAAATATGTCAATACACAAATTTCTTGATTATTTGCCTTACTTGACATGACAGAATTAGTTTGCTGCATGAGAAGCATATGTGTCCAGTTACAGCCACATGAAAAGCACTACCTTCCTAGACACCACTTTAAACAACAGTTATTTTTATTGAGTGCAATTTCTCCACAGCGAAGGGGAACCTTCCAGTAAAGTGTGAGGATCGCATCCTCCCTAGGATTGCAATTATGATAATACTCTCTTCTCTCAGTGTTTTCCCTTTAAGATAAATCTTAAAACAAAAATGCTCTCTTTCATGACAACATACTTAGTTCTTAAAACTGCTAACAGCAGAGTAAAGCAAAAGTACATGTATTGCCCCTGCATACTCCTCCTGCTAAGGTTTGTCTCTTTGCACTGGAAGAAGGGTCTTGCCCATTAAACAGTACTGCTCAAAAGTACGTTACCACCCTCTTGAGAGTCTCATCTCGTATCGAGAAATGAGACTCTCGTCTTGCAAGAGCCTTAAAAAGTTGTCAGTACAAATGCTTGAACTTCTCGCAAGATTTTAATAGCCTATTGTTATTATCAGCTACTGAAGAACAGTGAAAAAAAAGGGTGGATTGAAAAAAGTCACCTGCTGTAATCTGTGAGCAAGAGCTTCATCAGACTGAAGGTAACATCTTGTGGGTTGCCTGGATGCATTGAGGCGACGACGGAATCGCTCCATGCGATGCTGTCTATCAGATAGAAACCAACTGGGCGCATCATTAGGTGGAACTTGGTGTTGAGCAAAAGATGAAAGCTGTGGAAATAATTAACAAATCTTGATATTTACTCTTCTGCATAACTTAATTACACTGACAGTTCCTCCCAGAATTCTGAGAAAGACAGGGAAAATTCCCTTCTGTATTCTTTACATGAACAATTTGACATTTTCAATACAGGGGACAACTAAAGAGGATCAAAGAGCAAAATGTATGATAAATTTGACAGGTTTTAAATCAAACTACTACAATTCAACAGTTATTATATCGTTTCCAAGAGTATTTTGTGTATACAGATGTGATGTCTTGTTCTTTACGGGAAAACTCTGGCAAGTGTACATATATATAAATCAGTTGACATTTTACAAAATCCTGATGTAGTTTGGACATGCTCCTGAAAATAGTGATATTCAGATGCCCAAATAAGACAGTTTGGGAGCTGGGTAGTTGAAAAGAAGATTGCATTAATATTCAAATTCAAATCAACAAAATGGATACCTCTTCATCAATGACAATAGGAGAGCTATTGTCACCAGAGGGAACTGGCCTTGGTGTAAAGTCAGCAAATTCTGCCAGCAAAGCTTCACGTCTGGCTCCAGGTGGGGAAACACTGTCCCACAGATTTGTATAAGGGGTATGCCTGCCTCGGAACCGGCGTGAACGCAAACGATCATTGACAGGTGCACGGTGACCTCGGGACTCGCGAGCTTGAAGTCGCCAACGGAAATTAGATGCAAATTGTGCAAAGTCCTCACTGAAATGAAAATGGTATAAATAATCAGTAAACTGAAATATGAAACAAAAATAAAAACTTAAGAATAAAGGAACCCAAAAGCATAAACATTCTCACCATGGAGGAGCAGCTGCCGCACCTCCTTGTGCTCTTGCCGTACTGTTGTCACCCTCGTCTGGAGATGTAAGGTCAATAACAGGAATCTCAGAGCGCTTAGGCGTCTGATTAGCCATCATCACAGAACTATCAAGCTCACTGGTGTCACTAGATGAGGTTGATGCAGAGGGTGATATTGGACCTGGATGGTGAAATAATGAAATATCTCCGTTGGGTTCATCCAAGAGAACGGAAAAGTCTCGCGGTGAACCTGGATTTCCTCTCATGGAGGACGATGTACTTTCAGTGTCACTTTGACCCATCTTTAAACCTACCAAAATAAGTCACAAAATTATTTTCAAATTATAAACACATGGATATAATGTAGCCAAAAAAATTAGGCAGCTAGTAGAAGTTGGGGTGGTGCGACACATGCAATTCAGAGGGAAAGTGCTTTAAACATCACATTTCAAGACCCCTTGAAGTTCATCATAATACGCTGTTACACGCATCGTACTTTCAACTCACTTCTTGGTGTTTGGAATGGTCATGTCTGATTTACATTGTAAAACATACAGATCAGCCACTCAAATTGTATCTATCGGATACCAAATAAAGAAGAACTTTTAATTTGCTGTTCTTTTATAATGGTGAGTCCAAACAAGAGTTCTCATAATTTGTATGGGAGCAGGGTGTTCACAAAGTTTTCAAGCAGCTAGCTTTATTGCTAGAGAAGTTGGCTGATTTTGGTTGTTATTTATCTTTCCTAAAGGATTGTGACAGATAGTTTTCTTTTCGCTGAAAGCCACTGCTGCGGGTAACCCTGGGAAGGACGGACTAAAAAGCAACCTGTGTTATTCAGGCTATTCTGAATGCTATTCATGTTAACTGGAGAGAAAGTCTGCACCCTCATTTGACTGAATAGTGCTCTGGTTAACCTGAACACCACTAAAGGTACCCGAATAAACCCAAGTATGCCTATTTATGGCTAGCTGTAGATACTAGCAATGGAAATACAATACATAAAACAAAAAATCTACAACCTGCCGTCAGCAGTCAACAACACCACACTGTGTTTTTGCAAAACAAGATTAAATAAAGGAATGAGAATTTAACTCTTAAAAGAATAATTATGTTAGTTACAATCAGAATTATGACAACTCTTTCTTTGCATTTATTGTTAAAAGGTTAACTGTTTCCCTCATCTGCAAAAGCTTAATCTGCAAAGAATTCTAGAGTTCTTGTTGTGTTGACATTAGTAGTCATGGAAAAAGTAAAAAGCTTTGCAAATAAGAACAATTCGTCCAAACATTTTCTTTGGCAGAAAGCTTAAGTAATGTTCTTATCTCCACTTTCACCAACTTTGACCTGTAAAGGAGCCCTGTAAATAATATGAAATAGCTTGTACATCTCAGATTTAATTTGCCCCTTGAGTTTTGTTTGTGAAGAGAAAAAATGTGGGACAGATGGAAAATGGAATAGCTGAAATATAAATTTTTGAAATACATTTTCATTTACAGGAAGAGAGCTACGGGAGTCTTGAAAAAATAACAATAAATAAAAAGGGGACCACAACAGATATCATGAGATTGGTCTTGTGCCTACAGGCTTGGAGTTTGAGATATCATTTACCTCACAACTTCGAAATGGTTTAAAGAAAAAACGTTGAAAATAGAAGGCACAGAGTTAACAGTTTTATATTTTGTACATTTTCGACCTGATTCACGTGAAAGTGTGCTTAAAAGCTTTTGTGGTCACCTGGACAGAAAGTGGCTTGAATCGAATGAGGTACGAGCTTACAGAATTGGAATAAACCCGGCTTCATTCGCTGTTACAACCTCTGGAAATAAAATCTCACTTAAAAAAAAAATTACTATTCATATGACCATGACAATAAACATTTACAGCCCTTAACGTTAAAAGAAACCGAGAACAATAAACATTCTTCCTCGCCAAGCAATATGTACTTCTCTGAAAGAATTCGGCGACATCCCTTTTGTAGACTCGACCTGCCTGCCATACACTTCAAATTAGTGAGGGCTCCGAAAACGAGTTCGAATTAGTCTTTCTACAGAAAATGTTGTGCTGTTTAAACCTTCAGGGATAACTATGTTATTCTTATTTCAATCCTTTCTCTCCTTCTTCAAGTCAAACTATGAACGTGCGTGAAGGCAAAGAAATTTATACCCTCGTGTGCCAATTCTCTTCGCAAAGATGATAACGCACAATTTCAAAAGATCAGAAAGGCTTACGTTCACTAAACTATGCTCCGCTAAATGAAATGAAGTTCAAATCAATAAAGATTTTCGCTGTCCACTCTTGCGTTCAGTAGACAAATTATAAAGCACTTGCGTCATGAAGGAAAGATCGGGGTATTACAATTTCCTCTTGTGAAAATACACGAAATTCAACACGAAACGCGTATTTCGACTTAAAATAGCTGTGGAAAGGCAATAATTCCTTGAACATAGGCCAAGCAGTCAGAAATTCAAAGCGAATACGCCCTATGCGACACTTTAGAACAAGGATTGATAAAAAGCGTATATCGCAACGGCGGACCGTTCATGCAAAGGCCAATGATAACGGCGAAAAGGGGAAAACTTACCTGAAAGTAAGGTATACTTGAAAGCTATGTGGGCTGAGGTTTTCAAGGGAATGAATCCTCCTGTGGCAACTAAAATATGCTAAATCTAATGTAGTCCGTTGAGAGCTTCGCTTCCGAAACTTTCGCAGATGAAAAACCCTTGCAAATTGAGTACAAAGTAAATCGACAACAATCGCGGTAAATTAATACATGCAGGTATTGCGCATGAGTGAAATTCCGCTGACTACTTTATGACGATGACTGCCCACGCATTTTCACGTTCAACAATGAACACCTTGAGATATCTTTTTACGTGAAAACAACTTTTTTTTTCTGCATTTGATTTCAAATCAAATCAAAATTGCGCAGTGCACTTTCAAGTGACACATGCGTTTACTTTGAGCAGTTTATTTCTCCAGGATTAATTGCTTATTACAACTTTCAAGGAGCAAAGAAATTGTAAAGAATAATGGAAGTGCAGAAAGCTGTGCGCCTTAGGCAGGATGTAAGAAGAAATCAGCTGGGGTTGTGGTCTGTGTTTCATCGATTTGTTTACAGCATCTGTGACTAGAACGTTCTCTACTTCCAGGTTACCCTTTAACAACTGACGGTAACAAAAGAAAACCCTTCTTTCCGATGACCGTTTGCAAGAATATAACAAAAAAAGTCATTGAAGGGTCAATTGTTTCAAACGGAAGACAAAGCGCAAACAAACTGATTTAAATTACCGTTACTAAGGAATGAAGAACACACAAAGAGAATGTTTGTTCATAAGATATCAAACAAGACAAGACAATAAAAGTGATTATAATCACTCGTGAGGAAAGTCGTTGGCAGCTTATCGCCTCTGACCCTGCTTCCGCACTCGGCCTTCCATGCCAGCTAAAAGCTTTTATTAACACAAGGATGAGGTTAGTACGGTAAGAAAACATTACTTTTAATCCGATTTCTTAAATCGTTGTCAGTCATTTCACTTGATCACTATAAATCCGCGGTGTATTTCTATGAACTCAGAATGCTTATTAAAAAAGATCGGCGTTGAAAAAAATATTACTGTCAGTATATTTTCCCCGTATTTTAAACAAAGCAAGCAGTCGTTCTGAGGTCAGTAATTTTCGCCATTAGCTTTGATTATACCTGTTCCTTCTTTCGTGATTCACAGGTAAAATATTCAGATCTACTCAACGATAACTCGGCACGAAAAGGTCAACCACGAGCGAGGTTTCACTGATGCGTCGACAAAAACTGAGCGGAAATGAAACACGGTCGTGACAGTGGAAAAAATTGTAAATAAACAATGCATAAAATGAAAAACTTACGAAGAGAAACATTTTAACGTGGTTGAAAAGGAATCAAAGCGGAAAGGCGGTCAAAATGCTATCTGTTAGGGCAAGTATAACATCATGTAGAAACAGCTTCTGGTAGTTTATCATCTGCGCCGCAAAAAAAGGAAGATTAATGCTTGAGCAAAGTGTTAGAGTTGGGTAATGATTTTAGGGTTAATTAATATTTCAATATTGTCAGGGTTATCCTCACAATGCATGACAGATAGGTCGCGCGGACCTCTAAAAGCGGTAAACGCCATCAAAAAAAATATAATAATATTGATTCCTCCGCCTTGCCGGCTGGCTCGAATTAAGAGATAAAAGCTTTTGTCTTCATTGCAAACGCAATCAAAGGCCAAAAGGTGGTAAAGCTAACAATCAATGCTAACATGACCAGAAAATCATGTCTGACTTATGTCTTCGTCATGTTTGAAGACCTTTCAGTAGAAAACTAGTTTGTCATGCACTGCGCGCGTCATTAATTCTAATGCGCGAAATAATTTGACGCACACAATGTCTTGTTGCCATAGTGATAACAGTGACCTTCTTTAATTTCCAGGCGAAAATGATTGAAATGTAGAATCAGTATGTTGATGAAGTGGGACTGCTTATTTTGGCGATGAATTTCCAAGGAAACAGACGACGGGAGGGCATGTTTTCTGCGCAATGTGATACTGGAAAAAATAAGGGTGTTCGTCACCCTGTTATGCCACAAAGGACAAATACAACAACAGATGCGGCGAAAAAAGCAATTGGCAGCTCGCGCTTGAAACATGTACAATTTGAGCGCTTTAAAGAGACTAGTAAAGAGTGGGCTTGCCCAACACACGACAATGGAAAAAGAAAACAAAGTTCCGCTACCCGGCTTTCACTTTCCAAATCCTGTGAAAAATCGGCGACGCTAAGGAAATTACGAGAAGTTAAAATTTATAGGTCATTTATCGAAGAAGAAGTGACTGAGGATTCAGAGAGATGTAAAACCGGTGCAGCGTTCGAAAAGACAACGCAGGGAAAAGTTTCATCGCGTAACGTAGGACAGACAACTGAAGCATGCACAGTTAACCCATCACGTGCCACGCCTCCAAATCACGCTATAAGACGTTACGCACTATACAGAGGAATGTTATGCCAGTAAGTCATCTCTCGCTAGCTTATAACAAAGAACTGATTTTCTTCAAGGTAAAGAATCTGAACCTTTCATTGCAAGCAATAACAAGGCCCGCTTCACAAAGACGCGGCGCCATACGGGCTACAGTAAAGTTCAAAATACTCAGGATGACCCGGAAGGAAATAAGGCGCTAGGGGCGCCGTTACTTTCGAGTTACCACTGAGCTTGGAGAGATTGCCTTAAACCTCGAAGGTATACGCAATTTTTAGGTGTTAGGTTTTTTAGTAAGACGATACCTTCAGTATCATTGAAAAATGCAAGTGCAAACATGGTTAATTGAGGCTGATCTTAATACGATTACTAAACTAATAATTTCCGTTTGTCGCATTTTCCCAAAAGAGACAGACATTCTGTATAAAACTATTTGTCACATTTTATTGTTGTAAACAGCTCTAGGTTTGAAGAGGATCATAACTTATGGAAAGACAAGAATAAGGGCAAAGTTTCGTGTAGAAGAGATAAAAGTGAAGAAACCATTACACGGACTGCCACAATACGAGAAGATGAAAAAGACAAAGATAAGTCAACCCGCTCACGTGCCTGTGAGACAAACACGGTGGATGATCAAACACCTGAAACAATCAATTGCAGTCCCAGGAATGATGATTTAACAGGAACACGGGTAAGAGAGAGTGTGGAACACTGAGAGAGCAGATTATTGAAATGAAGTGTTATAGAGGACGTTTTTGACAGGTTTAAAACCGAGTTTATACCAATAACAACATTTGTTACATAAATTATGCCTCTTAACATCTTCTACGTGAATTGCCACTCATCCATGTTGTAACGCTATAATTTGGCACTTTGCTTACTCGAGCGGTTTTGTCGATTCTGTTGACTTGTTTTGTTTGTTAACCCTTTGGATATCAAACTTTAGCCAAAAACTTCCGTTTTTAACCGTTTAGTCAGGTTTTTTAGCTGCCATGACGCTAAATAAGCCTAAGTTTTGCTAAGAAAGCTTTTTTTTACTAAAAGGGGAGATT